ATTTTTATTATCTTAAACGATCGATTCAACCACTATTCCATTGCAAGATTCATATCTGCTTTCTGTAAAAATAATCGAAGACGTAATACCTTAACCTCGGATAAGTAAATCCCATCGATTTTGAATTTATCGTCGATCTTTGGACTGTCCTAAGAGGTTCCACTAGCTCTCCCATCGATATAGATCGAATCTACTAACGACTATATTATTTGTAAACAGGCGAATTTTTGTGCACTTATGGCGAATGTTCATAAAATAATATACGAGTAACATAGGAGGACAAGCTTACATTTAAATGTATCCGCATTATTTGTAATTCGTAAAACGTCTGATTAATAAGCATTCCTATACGAACAGAATAATTTCTCCTAGAAATCGTGTCGATGGTTTATTAAAAATAAATGGGTAAAATATTTGAGTGCTCTTGTAATAGAGCTTGTGACAGCACTGGCTACACTGGAAACGATAAACAGGAACGTTTCTCACGTTTACAGGATTTTCTTGGGAACCCGACTTGGGGCAATAAACGGGTATGGAAAATGAAAGGCGGTTTCGTAGGGATCGAAGCCGCAGGAAAAACCGTTTCTCAGGCCAGCCAGCGAAACCAGAACGAATTTGTAATTACGACATACTAATTTTTCCGGGGTCGTTTTCTCCGTTTCGATCAGAGCGAGATGGAGTATCTCGTTTCCCACTTCCAGAGAGAAACGGTTTCTGTATCGGATCGTTCTTCTTCTCCGAAGTCATCTTTCCACGCAAAGGCTAGTATTTCATGGTTCGTATTATTTCGTAAAATTCCAGAGAACCTAAGGAATTTTCGTATCCTCGTCGTCCGTCGAGGCGCGAAGTCCGATCATGGCGGCCCGTTCGACCCTGAGGAACGGCTCTAATAAATTTAACAGATACACTGGAAGATATTACGTGTCGACAGCACGGTGTACCAAGTTTTTCTCACGTCCACGATTGGCCGTCGGGACGGCTGTCCATGCTATAACCTGATGTAAAGGATGTCACGGAAAGAATCTTCGTATACGTGGCCCAACCGAGTGCTTCCGCATGTACCTAGACGCGATTGTTATACCTACGCTTGCTATAGATCGCCGCGAACACACACACACAGCCCAACGACCACACGTGCGAATCCACGCTAAATCCACCTGGTGGACTTAGCATTCGGAAACCAGCCTAGTGTCGGGATCTAGGTTTCGATTGGAGTCGGTTTCAGGGTTCAAGAGGACGCTTGGGCAAGAGGCGCGAGTATCTTCGTTTTTAGCGACTCGAAGGGGTGTGGGCCCTGGAGAGACTTCAACGCCGGAAGTGCTAACGAGACGTTGGTTAATTGGAATGTTTCGAGATAGCCAACGGGGGTGAGAAAAGGGAGCGGTTGGACTTTACACGCCACGCCCTAATTCGACTTCCAGGGACCAGCGGCCCCCGCTGCGCAGCTCCCCCTCGTGGAAACATAATTTTCCCGGTTATTACTTTCTCAGCGAATCCGCCTCGTCCTCTCAAACTCGACCCCCCGTGAAGGGCCAGGCCACTTTGCTAAATTAAAGCTCGTCTCGTTGGAAGATTCCGGATCGAGGCGTAATTCAACCCTCTACTTTGTGAATTTTATTTTATTTTCGCGAAGCTGATAACAGTATCCTGTCTCTATCTGCGACATTCGTTAATTAATCGAGAAATTAGAAAGAGGCTACATTGATCTGCAGGTCTACGAAAGAATGCTACGAAACGAATATGTTTACAGCGGTGGAAATATCAGTAAATGAATTCCGCGCCTCGTTCGAATATTTAACACGCTACCGCCAGAGTTCCTGGCGACGAGACGAAGTATTCCTGGAAGATTACCGCCTTCGATTCTCGGTCCTTCGACGCAGCGCAGATAAAGAGACGCGGAAGGTCCTTATCTGCGTGGACTTGGACTACCGATCGGGGTTTCTCTTCCACGGTTGCCGATAGATTAGAACTCGAACGCGTAAGCTCGCCGACGAGATTCTCTCTTAACCTGCGAAACAGGGACAAGTAGAGAATTCTTGTCTGAAATTTCTAAATTAACGAAAAATAAAGCCCTACTCCGTATGAAAATTCTGCCGAATCAAAAGGAACATTTGGAATAAATTACTCCAATTTGTTATCGATTATTCCAATTAAATCCTGCCTGTCTGCGCCGTTAACCGAAATATGAATGAAACTTAGAGGCTTAACGGTTTATTATCGGGTGATGCGTGATACCATCGTTATCATAGTTTGGAATCCATCGTTGTTGTTAATATATATTAATCTCGCGCGATTCTAATTATAGTATTTAAAAAAAAAAAAAAAAAATATTCTGGCTTGATTTAATATTTGTTGGGAGGGGAACAAATAATTTGAAGTTGACTTGGAAATGGAGAACGCTGAAACGTTCATTTGTTTATCGTTGAAGTATTCTAATCTATTCGAGAAGTTCGGATTCGCTAACTTGGTCATTCAAGCGTTTTTGTTAAAATAACGAGTACATCTGTTTAAACTAGAGTTAGATACAGAGATTTGATACAGAGGCGAGCAAAATTAATTTCTACAGCTAATAATTGGCGCGCGGGTTGATTTGCGTTGAAGTGGGTTGGGTCTCGTAGCTATCGAACGATACCTGAAAAATCGATACCAAGCTTCCTGGAAACTGGCTCTGGTAGGATGCTCGATTGCGTCACTCTCGATCCGCGTAATCTCGTTATCTGGTAAGCCTTTCCAGAGGCGTCTCGACGCGTGAATTTCAGCTGTGCTCGCGTCGCCATTGCACGCGATCGACCGCACACATCTTCCAAATCGAACGATAGCGATCGCGGTTCAATTTCATCCATCGACATTCGCGTGAAAAAATTATCTGCGATTGCTCTAACCGAAAGGAAATACCGAGTCCTCGCGGGAATCAATTTCTGTTTGCACCGCGACGTTTTGGTATTATACCAGCTGATACATTTTTTTTTTTTTGAGAAACTAAATTGTATCGAGGGAGAGGCAGATAACGCGGAATTCGTGGGAATCACAGAGATATAGAGAAAAATATTTTCTCGAGAACGGTGTTGTAAAGATTAGCTGAAGAGAGTTATCGAAGCCGCGAGGTGAAATTGTAATGTATTAATGTTCGATGAACTCGTAATCGATTGGATGTTTTCGATTTTTTAATTAAGTTGAAATAATTTCACGCACGATAGCTATGAATTTTATAATTTCGTTTCGTTATGGACATCAGATTCTAATCAAATTGTTCTCGAAGAATATTTTCGTCTTTTCCATTTGATTCAGGTGTAAGTTGCGCAGTGAATACCGATGTTTCGCGGCGATTACTATGTTTCCTGTAAGGTTAGATTGAAGTCGGTTCCAGGAACTCGTGGCCCTCGTGTCATCCAGTCAATCGAGCCCAATCGAATCGCTTCCCTTCGTTCAATTAGGATTAAGGGTGCACTCTCGCCCTTCCGAGCTTTGATTTAAAAAAAAAAAAAAAAAGAGAGAGAGAGACGTCAATCTCTCACTAACGATGTTTCATTTCAGACATTCATTTTTTGACGATTTAATCGATTTTTAAATCGAAGTATAACATTACAAAGTCTTTAAAGTAATAGGAAAAAACAGGTAAACAGTTGTTTACCTATACAAATAAGAATTTCGTCTGACATTGACATAGAAAAATAAATACGATCGATTTAACTGTTGATTACACTTGATCGATTACTATCAGACTGCGGATATTCATGCATTTAAAAGAAGCATGAATATATAAAAAAAAAAAAATTAAACAAACATAAGTTTCCGTTTTTCACCTATAAAAATACTCATTTGGATCAACATCTATCACCCCTCCAATGAAATAAATGTGTACAATTCAAGCAGTCCGTGCTATCAACAAACTTTCAACAAACATCTATCGACTGACACCGCCGATACCATGTAACAAAAATCCCATTGCGGGTCTGGATCATCGATACTTGGTTGCGTTAATCGAGAGCGGCGAGATAAGAGTCGCAGGCGATCGGTATCTCTCCCCTTTGTGCATTCGGCACGTTAGCCATCGAATTTCGACCGTTTGCGAGCATCCTGTCGCCTTCGAATGTTCCCAAGCCTCCGATGAATCAACGTTAATGTCGCTGTTAGGTCGAACCAAAAACAATAGACTGCTCGTTAAAGCGCGAGAGAAGGCGAGACGAAAACGAAACGGTGGCCGCACAAAAGAGTTACTTCGTGTTATTTCGGCTCTCCTTGACTCGACACCCAACGGAAACATCTTCGGCAACGAAAGTTTTTTGGCTCTCGACGTAAACATTCCTCGAATATCTCTCGAATTGATACGTAAATATATGTTTAATCGTCTAGATGCTGGGAGATAAAGGTACTTTGTTTAGAGAGAAAAAAGAATTCTCTCCTACCGGAATTTCCTGGGTGGAACAAAAACGAAACGACTGGAGATTCAACGATCGTTCCCTGGCGACGAATATCAACAGAGAAGCTTATCTGGACACGGCCAATAATCGGGAAGATCGTTTATAATTGGTCGATACGAGAAAGAAAAATTGGTACGTGCATACGAGATTGTAAATGTATTTAATAAAATTTGTAATGAGATACGTTTTGGGGGTGAATTTTATTTCAAGAGTATTCGCTTCAAATTCTTCGAGCATTATGAGTATCGATCGTAGGTACTAAAAATCCTAGCACTTATCGTGGAAAAATGTACGATGAAAAATCTATCTCAAACTCGAGGACCAGGTGTATCACAAAATTCTAATCCGAATATTTAATAATCTAGTTCAATATCGACATGTGACTAGCCAAGAGCGACGTTGATCGTGTTCGCCCAATTTCGAATAGAATCCAGCCCACACTTGATTCGAAAGTCGCGAAAGAACAATCGTGGAAACCAAGTACAGCGATCGATTCGTCATTGGCCCGCCACCGAATCCCTTATCGACGATCATCGTCACTCGATCACCTGACCGTCAGCGACGGAGAAAGACACCTACCTTTCGTCGAATAATCCATGCTTCCTTTCGTCAGCGTCGTGGTCGACTCATGGAGGTCCAAGGTCGGTCCCGGCACTTAACATCCAAACAAACGGCGTACGTTGCACTTATCACGAGCCTCCGCCATCGGGGATGGCCACCAGCGAATTGATATGTCGATACCGTCACTGTGGTTCGGTTCGCGCTAAAACTGTTCGGGTGCGATTCCAAGAAAAACCGAATTACGCTAAACTGTAACCCGAATCTCTAGACAATCGAAGCAGGCGACCGTCCTCAACCCTCGTTACGCGTTTCCGCCATGGATGACGACTACTTCGTATCTCGACCACCGCGTAACTGTCCACGGGAATACTTGAAACGGAGAATACTTCGCGAGAATATTCTCCCAGTCATGAATAATCAATCCTGTCGAAAGTTTTGCACGTCTTCGCCATCGAAGATGGCCACTATCTGTCAATGTATCTCGCGCACAATCACTGTACTTCAGTCCACAGAATCAACCGAGAGGTGTTCCCGGAAACCGATGCGTTCTCCGTGGCGTGCTCTCGAGTAATCGAACGATTCGTGTCGATTCCTCGCAGCCCCTGCTCGCTGAGGGGGGGAGAGCGCTGGAACGTGTCTGCGTATCAGCCTCCGTGGCAGTGTCTCGATATCTCGATACTCTGGTTCTCCATCCGGGGCGCGCACCACTTTTTTCTTCTCTGGGTTCGTCGTGTAACGCGAGCTCGAGCGAAACGCGCGTCACGACGTTACGCGACGAAGGACGACGGACGAGTAAAGGACTCGATTCGAGAACGGGCTACCGAGATCACGGTATCACTCACACACCGACAGGCTGAGAGAGAAAGAGAAAGATAATCAGCACGCGAGGGGAGGGGGAGACAAGGTCCATGAGAACAGATCACGACGGGCCGACTCACCGTGGAGAAGTGACACGGCGCTTCTGACAATTTCTCTCAGCCTGCGCCCGAGCCTCATCATCCCTCCCACCTGGTCCCTCTCCTCTCTCGCTCTGTCTCTATCTCCCACGGCTCCCCACCCCGCGCCCAGCCATCCGTCTCTACGCTATAACTCCGTCCTCCCCACCCCTCTCTGTCTCAACCCGGCGGTCAGGGCCGACACGCGCAGGTGTGCAGAGATGGGCAAAATTCTGGATAAAAATTTCGAGTACCAGATAAATAACGTTTCGTGATTATTGCAATATAAATTATCGAATGAAATTGTCATCTGTGAATTTATTTATCCATGCATCCGTGTGTCCATCTATATATACATATCTAGCTACGTTTATCAATTATCTATCCATACATCCATATATCCCTATATATATATGTATCTATGTATATCCGACTGTACAGGAACTGAACATACGTGCAATAACTATCTGCACATCCCCACTAACTCCCACCTCACTGTGGCAAACCATCCCCTCCAAATGTGAAACATTTTTGGAGATCAATTCCCCATGAAAATATACAACGAATAGCCTTATCTCGTTTTGCAATCCGAAACTCCGTTATCGAGATACAAGCAGACGAAGTTTGCGCGCGTGTGCGCAGCCATCAGCTGACTGGGTTTCAAACTGAGCGCGCCAAGAACTGTGTTTGTAAACTTTAATTAGTGGTATCTAGATAACGAGGCTCCCGATCGCGAAATGGTAAAGGGACTTTCGATTTCTTTTTCAACGAACAATTAATCCTGCGATAAGAGCAATTCCTCCTTATTTGTATAATATTATTTTATCGAAATTTCTGCTCGTTTCTAGCCATCTTCCAGTAGGGGGCGGTCTCACCGAAGTTTGCACAAGGGCGGCTCGTACCCACGCGGACGACCCTGCCGGCTCCTCTAGAGTCTATCGTTCTTCTCTCTTCCACGACCGGAATCCCGTAATCCTTCCATCCTTCTTTGCTCTCCTCTTGCGGTCATCCCCACCACGGGTTGCTTCTCCCGCCCGTCTGTATCGGCTATACGTGTGTTTTCCGCCTGGGGAGAAGCGTACCCTTCTCGTCCTTCTGTCTTCCACGCTTCTGTCTTCCCCTCCTTTCCCGTCAGGGTTACTCGCGTCTTTTTTCTCTCCCAGGTTTCTCTGTCTCGCTCCAACGATCGAATCGGTCTCGTTTCGACTTCCTTTTCTCCCGCTGTCTTTTTTCTCCGTCACTGACGGAGTCTCCGCTCGGTTTTCTCGTCTCCTGTCTGCGAGCGCTCTCCCCACCCGCGCTCTTTCTCTTTCCCGCAGGTCTATCTGCCCCCACCAGCCGCGGAGCTGTGCTCCTATGCCGTCGTTGCTATATCGTCGTGTGGTACCACGGTTCGCGGGTTGTGTGAGTGCTGGTTCCCCACCCACACATACAGATGAGCCGCTGCGCGCTTCTCCGGACCGATACGCTTCCCTCTTTCGATCGTTCGAGCGCATCCGCGGCGGGCAAACGGTGCACCGTTTCTCCAGCGGTGCAACGGGAGTTACGTAAAGCGGCTCCGGGGGTGCAGCGCCTAGGGAGGGGAGAAATTCATGTCTATTGTAATTTTCAACGCTGATGGACATAGGGAAAGTAAGCTTTTCGTTTGTTGCTCGTTGTGGTAGAATTTGGGAGCTTTGTTTTGAATGATTTGAGAGATAGTCGAAGCATCCCTTCCAGATACCCTTATCAAAGGGTTTGCGTTAATGTGTCGGTTCGATCGTAGAGAATGGTCGACGATAGTTCCCGTCGATAAGGTGCAAGGTCACCGTCATTGGACGGATGACCAAGCATTAAAGCTTCGTTAGATAATGTATGCTCGAACTTGCGTCAGCGCGGCCAGAACAACAAGGAACAACCACGGAACGATGCTTTACGCGCGCCATTTGCGATAACGAGTAAACCCTGCCGCGAAAGTTGCTCGTTTTCGTTTCGCGAAAACCAAGCGGAAAACTCACTGTCAATTAACGTCTACGTTTCCTTGTGCGTCTCGATTTCGAGTGAAAACGAACATAGGTAATAGTTACGTGCTAAAAGTGGAAAGGAAATTTGACCGTTTGTACTGAAATGATCCATCCACGCAGCGGTAATCGTTTCTCTGACTTTTATTGCACGGTCAAAGGCAGGCCTACTCGTCTTGTCAACAACCAGGGGACATTATTACCGAAATTACAAACTGATCCCCTTTCTATTCATCTCTTCGTCGAACCCTTTAAAGTCACAAGGGTGAAAGGGCCAGGCTGAAAAGCGTGTACCTGCAAACGGTGAAGTAATCTTCGTTGTTCGATTGTGTAGTAGTCGATCTCAACGGATATCGTTTCATGGGATACTTTCGTTTCCATTAAACAGCCAACGATTGGTTCTCACTGCTACCGTATGCAAAATTAATAGAAATAATTAACTTGTGATTATGAGTTTGAATTATAAATTATGTATTTAAATTTAAGAGAATTTTTCGGAGATGTTCAACCATTTTCTGTAGTTTCTATAGGGTCGTACTAGTTAGAAAGCTGTTACACGATCACTTTTGGCGACGAGTAGAAGACAGAGGAGATTTAAATGCCTGGGAGCAGTCCTTTAAGCAAGGAAACAAAACAACAAGTGTAATATTTACGCGTGTTAACACGTTACTGCATACAGTTTTCTGTTGTACGTTACGTTGTTACGCCGTTACTTATCGAAGAAGATAGAGAAGACACAATCGAAAGCTCTGGTAATATTAGTGTCCTTTTAGTTTCCTGAATTGATCGACGAGAGTTCAGTGGAATGTATGCAAAGTGGCAAACATCCGTTGTGCTCGCCTAAGGTAATCGTTGGAACTCCACCACCCTCTGCACCCCTTTCGAGCCACAATAAACCCTCGAAAGAGACGGCGGCATACCTGCGTCCAACGACAAAGAGGCGCATAATCTGCGACGTCTGTTGGTCAAACAGCCGTTTCATCTTCGAACGTAATAAAATAATGCAGGACAACAGTTGACTCCAGGTATTATACCCCGAGACATTAGGACTATCCGAGGAAACAACGAGAAACCAACCCATAACGTTCTCGAGGGGGGTGTCCGTATGCTAATCTCGGTTACCTGAGATGCTGGCCGCGATTTCGTTCGATTAAACCCTTTGTCGTCCAACGTCCAACGAGGCAAACACTCTAGACGACGCGTCTTCCAACGTTTAGCATCATCTTTGCTAGAAATAAATTTTTGGACCAAGAGGAACCCAACGGTGATCGACGGTATTTGTTATTTCGGCTTCGTGAATAGTTGGGGGACCTGAAGGCAATTTAAAGACTCGTTATTGCGAGAAATAAAAGAAAATGAGCGATTCTTCTCTCGCGGAATGTCTAGAAATTAAAAATGAAAAATTGGAAATTTCCAGAAATGATTACTGAATATTTTTATACGTGAACATTCGTATAAAATTCGTTACGTAGTATACAACGCAAAAATATGACGAATCGTATTGTTTCAACCCTGATCAATAACGTACCACGTTCTTTATCGCGATCCTTGGTTCGACTATTTTTATCGCACTTCTCGTGGAGGAACATTGATTTCCTTCATTCCTAGGGAACAGAGATGGGCAAGATTCTATTTGAATAATACGAGACGAATAAACGCGAGTAGCAATTGGATGTTTACTCGTCTGAGTACATTTTCGATTAAGTCTCGTGTCGTTCAACGCGAGATATATTTTATATTCAACTGACTAATAACGAATGAAAGATTGTTTATCTTGAGATCACTCTGAGAGCTAAATTTTCATTCGAGCTGTCTCTTTTGTCGTCCCCGAGGAGCTGACTTCCTTAGGGAAAAAAGCGAGGAGGATAAAAATTGGAAGGGTAGAGATTGACCGCGATGTCCAGATGGTCCATCGTGACCTAGAGATAAAGGGGTGAAAAGGGAAGCTACCCTCGTCACTATACTCGCGACTGTACCTGTCGGAAGTCAAATTAGATCCCGAATAAAAAAAAAGACGAGACACAGTTGACTTTTAACCGTTTTGTTTTCTACCTGGGGAAAAGGGGACTTTGCTTGGACGTCGAATTTGGCAACGATTCTCGCATCCCTTGGACGCAAAAGGTCCTGCGTTCTCATAGAATAACGTCAAGTATTACCTCTGTAGTATTTGTATTCAAAGAATGTTTATACCTATGTACGTGCCTACATACACTCCCAAACGCATATTTCGTAAATACGTAAAATCAAAAAGAAAGTAAGAAAGTAATTCTCGCATCTATCACGATTCTTGCATCCCTTGGACGCACAAGGTTCTGCGTTCTCATAGAATAACGTCAAGTATTACCTCTGTACATACAGTCTCAAACGCATATTTCGTGAATACATAAAATCAAAAACAAAGTAATTTTCGTATCAATCACGAGTAGCATTTTTTTTCAGGCCCCAGGAAATTCCCAAATGCACATTATCCCGGAGACATGTCATCCCTCCCAACAGAAAGGAGAAATTATAACCCCGGCGTTCCAGTTGCGACGTGACTTCCAGGAACGCAATTGTCGACGGTATTTACGCTTTTAGGCGAGCAAAAGGCGTCGTGACGGCGGCACGTAGGCGTCAGCTTCGTTTCGGAGACGTCGTTAGCCATTGGAAAATCGTCGTGGGCCCTCAATTGCCTCTGGGACCTTTCGTTTATGGCGTCCTAATAACGCGATTGCGGATTATAGAAGCTTTTCGGTGACTTGTACGACCATGGCTCGCTGGCCAGGAACTTGTTAATCCCTTTTATTGCGGTGGCCATTTTACAGCACCCGGCTGGATCGCGCAGACCCTTGAGAAAGTCCCGCACAGAATATCCCCCGATGAATCGTCACCAATCTTTTCTTTCTCCTCGACTGATCGGCGACGTTATTGGCCGTGGAAAGTTCCATTGGAGGCAAGTTTACAATGAGGACCATGCCCGTTTCCTATAAACGTCGAATCGCCGGATTACAACTGCGCGAAACGAGCACAATTTTTAGCTGTATGAAGAT